AGGGTAGGTATGGTGTGTGTGATGATGTAAGGAGTCCAGGTATGGTGTGTGTGATGATGTAAGGAGTCTAGGTATGGTGTCTGTGTGATGATGTAAGGAGTCTAGGTATGGTGTGTGTAATTGATGTAAAGAGTCTATGTATGGTGTGTGTAATGATGTAAGGAGTCTAGGTATGGTGTGTGTAATGATGTAAGGAGTCTAGGTATGGTGTGTGCAATGATGTAAGGAGTCTGGGTATGGTATGTGTTATGATGTAAGGAGTCTAGGTATGGTGTGTGTAATGATGTAAGGAGTCTAGGTATGGTGTGTGTGATGATGTAAGGAGTTCAGGTATGGTGTGTGTAATGATGTAAGGAGTTCAGGTATGGTGTGTGTAATGATGTAAGGAGTCCAGGTATGGTGTGTGTAATGATGTAAGGAGTCTAGGTATGGTGTGTGTAATGATGTAAGGAGTCCAGGTATGGTGTGTGTGATGATGTAAGATGTCTAAGACAGTTTATTTAGCATATTCACAATGAATCTTGAGAAAACATTTTCCCTAGGCTTTTCAAGAATGCTGACGCCAGAAATGCCAAACTTGAACTTCAAAGACACAAATAGTGGGTATTGTAATGTTTATATTGTCACAAAACACATATGCAAATTAATTGTATTATATTGTGTAAAGTACCAGAATGGTTGGGTATTTATTCTCATTACATTGTACTAACCTTGATACGAGGATCTTTACCTAAGAGAATCTTACCATTACTATCTGTGGTTGGGTTATCACATTCATCACACAGCTGAAGTATCAATGGCTTATCTAGCTTATTATCATTATAAACCAGAACAGGCTGTGAATAGACAAGGAAAAGAAGTTAGTCGATGAAACTTAGGCCGAGGGGTAGATAAAGTTAGGCCTGGGAGTAGATAAAGTTAGGCCCGGGGGGTAGATAAAGTTAGGCCCGGGGGGTAGATAAAGTTAGGCCCGGGGGGTAGATAAAGTTAGGCCCGGGGGGTAGATAAAGTTAGGCCCGGGGGGTAGATAAAGTTAGGCCCGGGGGGTAGATAAAGTTAGGCCCGGGGGGTTGA